AAATGGAGTGGCTACTTATGATCTGCTGCAATGGGATTTATAGAGATTCTATTTTCTAACTATAGGATTAAATGTGTTCAGCTATAGCACAAACTGTATTCATGTACTGAGATGATCTGTGTTGTTTACTCATGACCTGGTAGGTAATGCAGTCCCTTCAGAACTGTGCTGCTGAAACACGTTCACTATGCTGTTCTTTCATCTCCCATCATGTACTGCTGCAGGTACCTGGAGGGCTCCTGCTTCTGCCACTCACTCTCTAGCATGTGTTACTAACCACAGAAGTACTTTAACAAGTCTGAACTCTGCCTGTTGTAAGCCACATAGCGCTCTCTGCCTTAGGAAAGGCATAACTTGCAAATATGACTTCATGTAGTCTTGTGCCACTGAATTATGATACAGCATGTTCATGAGCAAGTTGCATATGTATCAGTCTAAAGTAGAGCTTTTTGGCAACTGGCCTTACTAGGCCTTCTCTGGGTAATGTAAAAAGGCTACTTACCTGGAAATAGTCACTCCATTTTCCTTCAGCATCTCCAAGTTGAGCAGGCCCTAGAAATAACACTGCTGTTTGACAGGTAACTTCCATCATCTCTAGGGGAATTTTGCACTACTTCCCTAAATTTTGCCTGTACCTTCAGTGGCTACTCAAAAGGACTGTATAACTATGTCTTTAAAGGGCAAAACAACTCCAATTTCTCCAACAGTGATATATAATGCCAGGCAAAAAAAAATCAATTTGTAGGATGACATGGCAAGACCTGGCAGAATTGCTGAGACCCAGCCACTTGTGGTGGGCAGGATAGTCTCCACTTTTTTTAAGAAGTATTGGTGTCCCAGGTAATAGGGATTCTCGTATACAATCCAGCTGCCTTTTTCCACCAGATAAATTGCACTGTTTCATGCAGGACTGCAGATTAGGGTTGACACTGCTGCATTTGTAACAGCACCCTTAGGACTTGTCTTCATAGAAAATGATTTGCAGTGCAAACATTTGCAAAGACTTGTAGCCCATCCTGGTACGTGTGTCCAACCAGGATACTGGCATATTGGGGCTTCTGTTTCCCCCTCATTTTTGGCAACTCACTGAGGTGAAAGCTGTGAATAAACACAGTGGTTGCTTTTATATGCCATAGTGCTAATGCTGCCCTGCAAAAAGTAACACAAAAGAGGCCTGTTCTGAGCTCCAGATGGATTTTATGATTTGTCTTTATTGTAATGTGGTGCTTACTGTATTTACCATATGGAACCCTTTCTGTCCCCCTTTTGGGCTGCTTTTGCTAATGAGTTCAAAGGATTTGTGTAATTATGGATTGGGCTCTGCTTTCAGCTGGTGGGAACTCTTTTATGTACCAAATCTAACCCAAATTCTGGTGGGGAATGTGTATGTGAATTCTGTTCTTTATAGTGCCTCCTTTGCCTAAAAGCTATAAAATTCAGCGGGGCTATGTTCCACTCTTCCTTAGGACAAAAAAGGAAACAAATTTTGCTTCCTTTTCAGTACGTTGCCGCTTGCTTTATTCTGGAAATGGGAAAATGTCTACATCTCATATGGTGGTGTTGGCTTTTGCCTATTTCCTTGTGTGTATTTTAACTCAGCAGTATGTTAGGAGGAAATGGTAATTAAAGGGAAAGCTGCATCAGCTGTGGGAGGGAATCAAACTGTTTTTATTAAATGTTTATCAGTATTTCTGGATTAGTGACTAATATTGAAAATCAGTTTGGGTCAGTCAATATGAAACTTTTCCTTTACGTCTGCTCTAAAATGTCGGAGGAACAAACTGCTTGCAACTGAATTTGCTCCCTGGCTGGAGCCAGAAAGGATTGTTGTCTCCATGCTAAAGCAGAACAGAGCTAGTATGCTGTGGAAAATCTTATTCCTCCTTTTTGGAACTTTTCCTCTGGCACTTTTCTGTTTGCTTGCTGCAGGGCTGAATCAAACTCTGACTTGTTCTGTTCGGATTAGCAGTTTCTTGAACCAAAATCTTAGGCTCCTAAAAACAGGCTACATTGATGGGATATGCAAAGCTGGTTATACAAACACGTTATGTCACCACTAGGTGAGGCTTCACATCAAAAGAAACCTAAGAACATAAATCTGTTTGTTTGGGGCAACTCATCCAAGCATGTGAAGATGTTGTCAATGTGATTCATCAGTTACCTTGGTATGCATATGAACATCTTGGTTGATCTAGCTTATTGAAAAGAGCTCTTTTTGCAATTACACGTTCTTTGCCTGTGACAGAACAAATGCATGTGTGACTGCAGCAGAGAGAGCAAGGAGAGGTTTGGGAGGCTCAGGCAGAGCACACCTCTGCTTACATGGTTTCAGACCAAAGGTGAGGTCTTTCAGTGCTGTGTCAAGAAAAGAATGACACAGGTATTTTCTGAGAGGGGGACGTACTTAGTGTAGTCTCATGCTCAAATTGGCTTCTTTCAGCTCTTGTTAAGGATCTACTTTTGAACCATAGAACATGCAAGAGGAATGCGGCTGCCATGTTCTGTAATGAGCAGTTTGGTTGTCACTCCTCAGTGATGGGGCTACAGCATGCTCACTGCTTCCAAACAGGCAAACAGACCCTACTGTCCCCTTTCATATACCCAGCCCTAGGCTTCTGAGCTCTCTGCACTACCTCAGAGCCTTTGCAGTGGCAAATTGTTGTGGATAGTCCTTAAAGAGGAGGAAGGATGTAAGGAAAGCAGAAACTTCTGTGAAGGTGGCACAAGGAGATCACCCACCAAGTGTACTGCACCTTCCTTTAAACCGTACATTTTAATAGGAAATTTTTGCTTAGTGCTTAAAAAAATCACAACCGTGAACCTGGTGAGCTGAAAACAAGCTTTGTGGATTTCTAAAAGGCCCTTTGAACACATATGTTTTTGGGCCACATGATAACTTTTAACCATTTCGCAGGCTTTGCTGTGCAGTTTAGTCCTCTGGCATGCTTGTAAATAGCGTTAGTACCTAAGAATCAATGGGAAGAAGTAAAAGCAGTTTTGCTTCACAGATGTTTATTTGTTTTCTTGAGCACTTCTGCAATAGGGTACAGGAACATCTCCAAGGCATGGGTTAATGCAGCATTGCAACATGTGATGACCCTTTGGACAGCTGTTTTGCTATGCCCTGGCTCAGACTAAGCTGGAATCTTTAATTCCATTTGGTTTTGTTTATTTGCTTTAATGTGTAAAAGGCTGTAATGGAGTCTCTCTGCCCTGAAATTAATGTTATATGTGCCCCTCAGTAGTGAATGCTTCTCTTGCCCCACTCAGTCTTGAAACTTGTCTGGAAGCAAATAGCCCTATAGAAACAGGCCACACTGTGCTCAGGCCACCAGGTAGAGGGAGGTGGAAGGAGAAGGATGCACACACAACTCTGCTCCCTAAATGGAGTTAGGATATGAATGAAGGTTGTGACTGTTCCTGGAGGATTTGGGGTCCTCCTGGGCTATACAAGGTGGACACAACAGAAGCAAACCCTGAGACACCTACAAACAGAGAGTGGCTAAGACTTAAAAGAACAAACAAAACAATACAGCACAGTGCATTAACAAACTGCTAGAAGGCATCACTTGGCTCACCTACAGCTAGGTGCTGTACATGAAATCCAAATCCTTGTTATGCCTTAGCTTGCTTTGCATTCCCTCCTTTCAGATTTGTTCCAGGCTTCTCTGGCGAGATTCCTTGTTTTGCTGCCTCTGTAGTTCCCTGCAGGATGCAAATGTTAATAAGCACAAGCACAGCATGCAGGGCTGAAGGAATAGGGAGAGGGGGGCCTGCACAGTGATCAGCTTCTGTCCTGCTGTGTGACATGCAGTGCACATGGAACTTGGGAGGTGCATGGGGCTCTTTACACCACTCAAATCCCTGCTGTAGCTACAAGGAATGGGCTCTCACTCCCTTGCATTGCAAAGCTAGAGCCAACAACAGGCTTTGGCGAATCATATACAAATAGAAAAGATGTATCCAATTTGTGTCCATGCTAGGCTAATGATCTAACACTACTTTTTTCTTTTTTGAGTCAAGTTTTTATTCTTTTTTTAAATAGTCTTCAACTACTTTTTTTTTTCTCTAGAAATGATGGCAGTGAACATGTTTGGCAGTGAACATGTTTTGCAGTGAATATCAGCCAGAAGAGTTCTTTTCATGTGTGCCTATTGAGAATATTCCAGGAATGTGACTTTCTGGTTCATGACTGACACCCAAGGTATGATATAACTGTCATGAATGTCAAATTCAGGATTGATGCTGTATATAAATTAGCACTATTATGAAACTTCTCATGCCATGGAGAATTAAGATAGGCCTGTAAAGGCTTTGTGGGTTCTGGGTGGCCAGAGGGGCCACTCTAGCTGTGATATTCAGAGATCTTATTGCAAAAATGGCTTGCTGACTTGCGTGAAACTTTCAGACCTACTTTGTCATCCTGCTCCTTTCTTTGTGTCAGTGAGTCAAGTTGCTTCTTGTCCTTGCTAGCTCTCCTTGTTGAAGCAGGGTTGGTCTTTTTATTTGCTGGTGCTCTCTGGTACTTGAAGCCTTAGAAGGGAAGAAAGCCAAGCATCATCTTGGGCCCACAAAGTACCCCTGGGCATGGGATCAGCTGTGTTAAATGGCTGGAAGCAAAGGGTACCAGTATCAAATTCCCTATGCTGAATTTTCTGTCATTTTTGCTGCATTTGGAGAAGTGGCAGGGAAGGAAGGTTGCTAATAGCGTAACCAACCATTGTGCAACTCCAAGTATTTGTCCAAGCTTAGAACAAACAAGTGTTTGTCAGATGAGAAGGCTGACCCTATTACAGAAATGGGTAATCTTACATATACAATGTTACACCTCAACTTGCAAACAAAATACTCCTTTTGCAATTATAAACTTCAACCTGAGCTAGATGCTGTTTCTGGGCTGCAGTGGGAAGATCCTCATGCCCAGAATGGGCACAGAGAAAGGTTTTCATGATTGTTTTTACATGTAGCTCCTAGAGCTCTGCGGGCTGTAATGTGGTGGCAGTGCTGGGACAGGCAGCTGCTGCCCTGTGTCCCCTGCCTCTGCAGAGAACTGGGGTGGAATGTGCTCACTGTGCTTCCAGGCGTGCTCTGCAGCCCGCGGGGCGGCCAGCATGGCAAATGGGTGCAGGGAGAGGTTGAAAGGGTGAATCCAGTGGTCCTGGAAGGACAATAATTCACAGGTTAGTACAATTGTGCTTGTTACTGTTAACAAAAAGAGTAGCTTTAACCTCTTAAACTGATTAGGACTTTGGAAAATGAATTACCCTTAGTCTCTAAATTCAGCAAAGCATTTCTGTTCCTTTCACACAGAGTGCAAATGAGCTTAAGCCCAGGCTTAAAACTAAGCAGCATTACCTGCTGAAATGGAAACTGGAGATGCTGATAACAGTGGCTTGTCTTCCTCTTCAGAAGATTTATAACCTTGCAACCTCATGACTATCAAGGAAGCATCCCAACCCCACCAGAGACAGGTGCTAGGTAAGTGTAAGGTTACATTAGTTCCTTCCTTGTCCTGGGAAAATGAGAATATGAACTGAAGCTTAAAAAAAAAAAAAAAAGTCACTGGAAAATCTTACAAGAAAACCTCACTCTTCTGTAGTGTGTGGTGTGTGCTGAGAAGGGATGTTTCTAAAAATATCCTGGACTGGAAATTCATAGGAAAAAAAAATCATGCCATAAGGAGCACAATAGTAAAAATACAGTATAATGTTCACAGCAAAATCTACCCATTGGAACAACGTGAAAGATCCATGTGCTGAAAGAACAGGTTGTGAAATGCCCATCAATAGGATTGGATGGGATAATTCAGTCAGGAGAGGTCATAGCCAGGGCTCTTTCTGGTATATGTAATTACTGAGTTACGAAGTGCAGCTCTAGCTTTTTTGGACACTGGGTGGCAGTCCATCATTAATATTAAGGCTAAACATGATTAAGTGTTCTACAAGAGCCTCAGAAATGCTGTGAATTACATGTGAATTGCCTATTATAGTCTGATTTCGATTCCACAGCAGCTTTTGATGATGGCTGGAAAAACAGTAGCAAACTTTGCATCAGTGAAAATAAAACCTACTTATTCCAGCACAAATATTCCTTTGTTCAATAGCTGGGCCATACAATAAAGTATTCTTGTGATGTTAAGTTATGAATTAAAGATTATAAACACCCCTATGTTTTTAGAGGACAATTATACCTAGACTGTGGCCCTGCTTTTACACAGGCCTTGTCTGAACACTGGTCAGGCCCCTGTGAAGTAGCTTGTATCTCCACAGGATCTGCAGGACATTCTTCCTATTTGGGGTGGATTCTGCAAGGCGTGTGGTGCCAGCAGTGCTCAAAGCCTTGTGAGGTGTTCTGAGATAGATTATCCTGTTTAAGACTGGGGCTAACTGTCGGCATTGGGGTCAGGGCAAGGAAAGATGGAAGAATCTTAACTGGTGAAATGTTCAGGACTATCATGAGATCCAATCAGCTAAGTTGGAGTAACTTTCTCCTTCTTGTCCACTGTAGGATTTTTTTTAATGGTGTGGATGTTTTTGCTGAGATACACTTGTCTTCTGTATTCAGTCCTGGTGTAGGGGCTGGCAGTGAACCATATTATCAAAGCACTGTGCTGAGGAAATATATTCTGCTTCTCTCAGGAAAGTCTTTTAAGTGCAAAGAAAGATCCAGGTTTTCTATCTCTGCCACAGATATTTCTGACCTTGGGCAAGTCATTTAATCTGTTCCAGTCAATCATTAGTAAAGGAGGATAATATTACTTCTCTGCTGTAACGGAATAATAAAACCTTGGCCACACTTTCCTTTGCTATTGTATGATCTGATACAGGCGTATCTTCAGACTCTGGCAGAGTATCTGCTCCCTGCAGATGGACAGGTAACAGATACTCTTGCAGTCGGTTACTGGTTTGTTCTGTTCAATTTGTGTTCAACTTGCACAGGATTGTAATTCACTGCAAGTGAAAAATTGCCTTGACTCTGTTCTCTGCCGCTTTCTTGCATCAAAGATAAAAGCTAAGGTTTTCTGAGGAGTGCCACCTCTGAGACTTCACAGGGATTCAGGGAGGATTTCTAGAGTGCAGATACTGAATCTCCTTAAACAGTGTCATGTAATGCTTATGTGAGAGTTGCTCTGAGTTACTTTTTGAGAGATGGTTTCTACACTAGCACTGATTTTTTTTTATGAAGCTGCCTAAAATTGGGACCCTTAGAAGGTTAGTCACACCCTACCAAGCAACAGGAAGTAGCTTACTGAGAAATGGAGATATAGAAAGAGGTCTCTGTCTGGTAGAAGTCTTTAGCCAAACTTTTAAAATATGGCATTTAACATTTCTGGTTCTTCTGAAGAATGCCCAATCTCAGACCGCTTGTTGATTTACTTGGCAGGAAGGTTTATCAGTTTAAAGGAAGAAAGAATGGACGAAGAAGAAGCATCAGCAGAGGCCATGCAAGAGGGAAGGGCTCAAGTGTGGCAGAGGTGAGTGATGGAGGTCTGTTGCTCCCTTAGGGAGTGCTCACAGGATATGCTGTGACCTATCTTTGACTCCTTAGTGAGGCTGGGCAGTGTGGGGCCAAAGGCCAAATGCTAAAAAAGGCTGAGCCTTCTCCAGTCCTAAATGAGAGTGGGGACTTCTGGCCTCCACTCAAAGCCTGAGTGTATGGGGGAAGAAGACACAAACATACTCCATCTTTGGCAGACACAGAACAAACCCAAAGGAAGACAGCAAGCACTTGTTTCAAATACAAGTCATGATCTTGCATATCTAAATGCTTGTACTCTAATGCAACAGGGAGATACAAGAGTTTATTACTATTTTCCATGCTTTGTCCCCAAACCACTGCTGGGCTAACAGCAGTAATTCTGCAGAAAGCAAATAACTTATCTCCCTTTATTAGTATGGGAGAATGAAATAAATAAGAGCTGTAATAGCGAGACAATATGATCTGCAAGAAATTAAGAAATGCTCTGGATTCTGCAGGTTTGACTGACACTTGGGACTGGCAGGAGGGCTGAGGTATACTGTGCATAGCTGCTACCTCACATGGAGCCTTTGCACGTGGCTGCAAGGACATGCACACAGCTCTAAGTCCTGATGGAAGAAGTGCGGAATTGAGAAATGGGGCCAGCTGGACAGGATTTAATCTGAGTGGGAAGGAAGGGGAAGGGAAATGCTGAAGGATTTAGGAGAGAGAAGTGGCAAAGGCACAGAATGCCAGCCTGACATCCCATGTGCTGGACCAGGCTGCTGTAGGTTAAATCTTCGCCCAGAGCCCTACAAGACATACATCTGCAAATCACTCACTTTGGCAGATCTCTGCCAGTGTGTTGCTGAGGGCCCCATGCTGTACATCTCAAAGATATCCTCGACAGGAATGCTATTCTGGGAAAACAAGCAAGGTCAAGTCAGCTCTCAAAGTATACTTTAAAGTGAGCACATGAAACCCAGCTAATACTCCCTTTCCTTTAAATTTTGCAACAGCTTTCACGTGAATTCCTAGTATTACGTTCACAGTACATATCTTACTGAGACTTGGTCCTATAATTTGCTGTTAGAGGGCCTGAAAATAAATACAGGAATATCTATGGGAGAGAACAAGGAAGTCCTTTTCTCCCTTATAAGAGCCACATGAGAGCTTAGGGTGGGTATATTTGGGATTGTTACACTCTGCTTGTGCTCTACTTCCATCATTGCTTTGTATTGACACCCCTTAGGGGTAAGACAAGATAACTACTGATACACACTCACAATATCACCTCTTGAAACTACCTATTTTGCTTTTTCAGGCTGAACAAAACTTAATGGCTACCTGATAAAATGACTCAGATCTGTGACCTCTGCATTAACTGTCTGCTGTGCTTTCTATAAGCAGAGACATGCACGGTAAAGGGATATTTCAACATTTGCCATAGAGCAAAAGATTCTGATATCTTTCTTGCTCTCTTACCATTAATATTCCAGCATATGAAGATAATATCATAGCTTCTCTCTCGGTTCGGTTGGGATACATATATCTGCTGCAAGCTGCTGAATTCCTGTGAGGTGTTTTAAACAAGATGATTAGCCTAATGTTATAAAAGCAAAAACGTGTGGGACTGATTCACTGTTGCTTTCACTGTTTTCATTGCAGCTTAGGACCTTAACTTTGCAATACTCACATGTCCTCTTCCGTTAGCAGAGGCTGAGCATCTGTATCATTTAGCCACAGCAAAGCAACACTGAGGGCCAAGTTGTAGTGAGCCTGGAAAGAGAGAAGAACCCCAAGGACTTGACCAAAGGATGAGAGACTGAAGGAATACAGGGATAGATAAGCTTGCAGGCCAATGCATGCAGATATTCTCACCAACTGTAGGACACTTGCTGAGGTTTGAGGCACTTTAAACATGCCTGAGAAGACTTTCCAACTTCAGTTGAAAGGGGTTTTATGCACTGATAATGCTAGTTTATGTGCATGTCTTTTCAGATGGTTGACTTCAACCTTTTCAAGTGTCCTTTATTGATGAGCTCAGTCTAGCTGTAAAATTAGTCAGAATTCAATGCCTCTTGCATATGTTACACCTGGATGTTATCTACTGCCAGTCTCTCTAGATGGGAGAGTGACAGGTTTTTACTGATCTCTGTAAGGAATAGCATATTTAGGTGTACCAAACAGCTGCCCTTCAGAGTTCTCACGATAAAGGTAGATAAAGGGTGTAGGATTGGAAATAAGACTGGTTACCATGTCATCTAGAAAGGTGGACTGCCTTTGTCCTCTTGGATCAAATGCATTTTCTCGTAGTCTGATGCCAACATAATCATTCCTTAAAGCAAGAGAGCAACTTTCAATTACCACAAGTTCTAAGCAGTCCAGTACAAGAGAAGATAGAATATGCGACTCTAATGTCAGTGTAAATCTAGGGCTGATTGGAATCTGCTGTGAGATTCCCTGTACAACCCATCCTGATTAGGAGAAACATTAAGGGGTTTTTTTGCCCCCCTTTTTTTTTCCATCACAGACAGCATTATCTTCCCTCAGACTATGTTGTTGTCTTCCTTAGATGCTTCAAAATATAAGAAACACAAATATGAAAAGTATGACAAGCTTGGAGCTTCACAGCAAGGATTTATGAGTACAGCCCAGACAGCTACTTCACTGATGCTGGGTTTTCTCGTTAATAGAGGGTCTGCAACCTTTCCCGAGACTGAGCAGTACAGATGTGTGCACGCAGAGCAGGCAAGGGCTGGCATTCAATAGAGGAAACATCATTTTCCATCCCCCAGAAGCTGTCTGCTGGGCACTTCTGCATCTTGGAGAACAAGATTCTGCTGCATGAACAAAGCTCCTCCTTGTAGCAGCTGCCCTCAACATATGCTGGGTGCATGGCAAAGGAGGAACTCTGTACTCCCTGCATAAGCCAGACCTTGCTCTGTGCTAGCGGGAATGAGACCTCTCTACTTCTACCTCTGCAGTCATGCTTTGTCATGCTGCAGACAGTAGGGCATGGTAGGAAATTAAGAGTATCTAAAAGTCTGCCCATGCTTTCCAGCAAGAAAAGACTAAGGACTTACAGCTGTGATTCAGCTAAGTCCTACAACCTGTTGCAATTAAAGCAAGTCTATCTCAAATTCAGTGCAGGGAACTGTGGGCAGAGAGTACTTACAGGAGTTTTTCAATCTCTCTCTTTAAGCATCTTCTTTCCATGGCCAGAGCTGTTCCAGTTGTCATTGCAATGTAAATGGCTCACTGAAATGTAGGAGAGAAGAAGGTGCATCTGACCAAGTGACTCTTTCACAGTGAGCAAAGTGACAAAACAGACAAACACATACACAGACAAAAGTGTATGGGACACTTAAACCCCTACAAGAATCTGACCAAAACCAATTCCTAAGTAGCAAAACCAGAGAAAAAACAGTCAAGAAAAAGATAACATGCACAGTACTGAAAGTGACAGCAAGGAGCTTGGTGATGGAAAAGGGGTGGGATGCACCCATTTATGATGAGCATCTGTCTTGAATATGACACTTGTCAGCCAGTAGGTTTCTTGCATTCCTATTGCAGTGATGCATGTTCTCTCATACTATAGATTTACTGCAGTCTCTACCTGCTGCTTCTTCCAAGTTCTTAGCATGTGGCTTTTCCTCCCCACTGGACCTGTGTGGTAAAATGAAGGGCTGGAGACAGGCAAATAATTGGCTATAGATCACTGAATGGACTGGGAAGAAGACAGTCTGGAGGAGAAAAGATAGCAGCTGTCTAGACATGATATAGAAAGGGCAGCAGCCAGCACCTTCGTCCACCAATTATAATATCACAGTGTATACTTCCCAGTTCCATAATTCACAGCCACAGAGGCCCAAACAAGCAGCAAGTACACAAGTTTTCTAATGTAAACAGGTGTACCAAACTCCATTTCAAGTGCAGTATAGTGAAGGTAACCAAGTATTCTGAGATGGATCCTCAGTAGGAATCAGCATAGCGCTGGAAATCTGCAGGGTTGCTAACATCACAGTAGGTACTTGCCCGGCATTTATAACTGTAGTGCCACTGGGGAGAAGGTTTCAAAGCAGTGAGCAGGTACATCACACCTGGCAGCAAAAGGCTACATCTGAAATATTGCCAGCTTCAACAGGATTGTTCAGAAAAGACCTGCCTATGGATTATTAAAAATATTGAAAGAATAATATGCCATGCTTGGTAAGCTCCTCTGTGTTACTGGATATGGTCTCCTTATTCTTTCTCTCTGTCACACATGTACAGAAGAAATCATGCACTACCTGTGTCAAACTCTTTGGAATAGGCCTCAGGATCCAGGTTTGGAGCCTCCCTGACTCCAGGTATCTCTGAGGAGGAACTCCCTCTGGATGCTGCTGGTCCTTTCTTGTCTCTGTCCCTGAGCTTGCGTGCCAGGGAATTAAGCTATGGCTGCGCAGGGCTGAAGCCTTCTCTGGTTGCTTGGAAACAATGCTGTTGAGCTAAGAGAAATTAAAAGAAAAAAACAACATGGTATTAAACCTGCATCCTGAGGTGTGCTATCAGGCTCAAGTTAAATGATCCTTTTACATTTCTAGGTATTCAGTTTCCCTGCTGAGTAGACTGTTGAAAGCAGAGATGACTGGCTATCAAGTAAGATGTTCACTGGGTTTTCTGATGAAATGTAATTGCTTGTAAAAGAAGCTATCAGTATTCAGAAGTAAGATTATGGAACAGTGAAAACCTAGACTGCTGCCTGTTAGAAGCCTGTCTTGGGTTTCATCTGCAGTGTTTATGGCAAGCACAAAGGATCCTATATTTGTTCTTTCTTCAAACTACATTTTTGCTCTTAGAGTCCAGAAATCCCAATGCAAATTAATAAACTGTGCTGTTGCCCTTGCAGTGAGTGCGGTACTGTCCTTCACAGGATCACTGATGGTAGCCTGTGCATCAGTATAATTGACAAGGCAGTGAGAATGCATCGTACTTAGGCTCCAGGTATGAATGTAGGAGGGGAACAAGCAACCCATTTTCTTAGGACTCTACTTCTGGTCTGAGCTGCTTACCAGATAAACAGTAGCCATGAGTTTATGACACTTGAACATAATGTTGCCTCTTTCATAGAAACATTATGGTTGGAAAAGACCTTTGAGATCAGCGAGTCCAACTGTAAGCCCCTCAACATTATATCTGTTAAACCATGTCCCTAAGCACCTCATCTACACGTTTCTTGGACACTGCCAGGGACAGTGACACCACCACTTCCCTGGGCAGCCTATTCTGATGCTTTGTGATGACTCAAGTTATAAAAGCAGATATATTGTCATGAGACATAGATCTTTCCCAGGAAACTATCTTCTTGCTGCTTACAAAATTTGTGCTGAGCTTTCTCTTTCTTACTTCATTTTACTGCTCAATTTCCCAAGACCAGGCTTCAGATGTGTGCTGCAAAAGGTGATGGTGGTGGACACAGCTCTGCTGCCTACTCTTTTTGCCAGAGTTGCAGTGCAGAAAGCCAGGCTGGCAGCTGTTGGGAGAGAATGGAGTTTGGGGATGGCCTCCTAAAAGCATTAGATACCCATGACCTTTCTTATAATTTCTGTCTGCCCCTGTAGCTAGCTAAGCAGCAAGCCTAGCTCTTCCCTATCGCTTCTCCTAGCTTGGGGCTGGTAACTGAGCTGGCTTTGATTCTGAGGGTGTCCTCTTGGCAGGCATCACAGCAACCATCTATCTCCCATACAGCTTTTTGCTTGCTTTAAGAAGCCACGTCCACTGCCTGTGTTTCCTTTAGTCGCCTCTACCCAGGGCCCATGTGCTGGTATGGGCAAGCTGGCAGAAAAGTGACTGTCACAAAGTGCCAAGTCTGAGCTAACCCTAGCCTAACTGCTGTTATGTGGCAAGGTGACAGGGAGGAAAATGACTTCCCCAACATGAGGCTGGTCCTTAGCCCTGGGCTGTTATTGGCTCCTGCTGCTGCTTTGAGTGTAGGAAATGCAGGTGGCCCAGGCTGAGACTGTGCTATTACTGATGAAAAAGAAAGAAACAGCAGCCATGGAAGAGTTTGAGCTGTGGCAGCAGCCTCAATACTTTCCCCATGTATTTCCCCATTCTCTATGGATTTGCAGCTTGGGACATTCTTGAGCAGAAACTGCTGTCTTGGTGGTTAATTCTCTTGCTCAACTTTTATTTGCATGCATTTGCCCAATGGTTTGTTGGAATGCAAATAAGTGGCATCTGTAATGTCATGTGGCAAAGATTTGCACTGTTTGAATAGGGCTGTTTGGAAAGGGTGTTTTGTGAAAGGGGCAGGTTAGCACATCCACAATGTTCCCTGCATAACTCAGACCAGCTCTTGGATGAACGACATGCAGCCTGGTGCCCTGTTGGCTCCAGTAGCGACCCTGTGTTCAGCCAAACGCACAGCAAGAAAACCTGCGGATGGCTGCAGTGACTCCCCTCTCGTCCCTCTTGTGGCAGTTTGGGGTAAAAGCTTGGGCTTGCGGAATTTGTCCTGTCTGTATTGGAGAAGTGCATTTAGCCCCGTTGTGCACAGCGCAGCGCATACAGTGCCCGTCACGGTTTCCCCAGAGCAAGAACTAAGCTGAAGGGGGAAACCTGAGTGTCTGCAGCATCGCTCCCCAGGGCAAGGCCGGGACTTTCAGACTGGCTATCCCGCTGACGGATGTTTATTTATTTAAATTCATGAACGAATGAAATTCGGAGGAGTCTGTCTATTTCGCAAACGCCGCAATTCATCACGCTAACGCCTTAACAACTGCCGCGCAGCTCATGGCGGTGCCTGGCGGCGCGACATGGCGGCGGGGCGGGGCGCGGCGGGCCGAGGCGGGGCGCGCGCCGCCATGTTTGTATTCAAAAGTCCGGCGGGCGCGAGCGCTGCTTCCTCCTTCCTGCCGCCCCCTTCCGCCCTGGCCGTCCCCGG